TACTAGTATATATTATTTATTAATATATACTAGTGTCTCCTTCCTTACAGGCTGTATATTATTAATTGCCTCCTTATCTGGATAAGGACATCCTCTTTGCCATTTATAAGTAAATCCAGGTATATAACAAGAATTAATTAAATTAAATCCTCCTGTCTCCTTAAGGAGACTATGCAAGGAAGGAGACGATTTATTTATATCTGCTGCTCTCCCTAGCCTATCTCCTCCCCATAATAAAGGAGATACTGTCTCCTCTATCTCCTTTATAGATAATGTAGATAGTGCATGCGCAAATCCTTCCACCATACGTATATTATCCGCTGAGAGAGAGAGACACACACACAAGCAGCAGCAGCAGCAGCAGCAGCAACAGCAGCAGCAGCAGCAGCAGCAGCAGCAGCAAGAGAGAAAAAGATTAATATATGTATATGTATACTATACTATTGTTGCTAATAAAATGAGTATAAGAGGTATTTCTATGATTTTTTTTGCTGCTGCTGCTGTTTCTGCTGCTGCTGCTGCTGCTGCTGCTGCTGTTGCTGTTGCTGCAGTAACTTACGTGAATCGTCAGGTAATTTAGATTCATACTGCTTAATTGTATTATATTTATCTGTATTATCTTCTTTTATTAATTTATACATATGCCCTAAGGCCTCAGGCTGGAAATGTTCGTTCCAATCCGCAGCAATTATAACTCCCATAGAAAATGAATCTAATCCTATAAGAAAAAAAAATAAATAAATATATATATATGTATATTTATTATTTATTTCTTCTCTTTATTTATTACTTATTTATTCTTTATTACCTTTCTAATAAGGTATTATACCCTATATGTTAGGGACAGGGAAAAGGGAGAAAAAAAAAAAGGAAAAAAAGAATGTATATAACAATATAGTAAATATACAATAAATATATATATACTTATACTTGCATGCATATATATACAAACATATATAGATACGTACATTAATACATATATATACATACATATATATATACTTATATATACATAAATAAGTAAATAAATACATGCATGCATAAACAACATATATACACACATATGCATGCACATGCACATAGATACATACATAAATAGATAAATAAACACATAAATGCATGCATATACACATACATACATAAATACATAAATACATACACAACTAAATAGAAACACGCATGCATACGCATGCATGCACATACATACATGCATGCATGCATGCATGTATGTATGCATGCATACCTTGTTGCTCGTTCCCGCAGTCCTTGTAGATTTGTGGCAATAATTCCTTTATTTGTTGAATATCCCAACCCTTAAAATGTCCCCCTATAACTGCTAATGTACCAAAGAAAGGGAACTGAATAGCTGCACCTATATATCCTTTTTCTCTCTTTTTTATGGCTACTTCTGTCTTACATACAGATAAAGGAGATAAGGGTTTACGTACTACATACATTAGGGTTTGTGTATTTCTTAATAATGGATTCTTTATCTGTGTACCTATTATATTAGATAAATAAGTTATACTAGGTAAACCCCAATTAGGGTCTGTACTTATACTATCTAATATATAACGAATATTTTCTTGCATATTTTTTTGTCTTTTCTCCTCTATCTTCATGTTTTCTTGTAGTACTATTATTATAGCATCTATAGTATTTATATCTATATTACTATTCTTATCTAAAAATATACCTAATAACTCTAATGAATTAGGATATACCATTAACCCGTTCCTGTATACACATATACACATTTATTTATTTATTTATTTAATTTATTTATTTATTTATTTATTTATTTTATTAGGGAGAAAAAAGCGGAGAAAGGGAAGAAAAGGGGAGAAAGGGAGGAAATAGGGAGAAAAAGGGAGGAAAACGGATAGAGGAGACAAGAGAAGAAAAGGGAAAGAAATATAAAGGAGACAATTAAATAAAGGAAACAATTGAACAATAAAAAAAACAAACAAAAAAAAAAAAAAACAAAAAATGTGAAATTAGGGTTTAGGGTTTAGGGTTTAGGGTTTAGGGTTTAGGGTTTAGGGTTTATATATAGGTACCATTGTATAAGAGCAATTCTAATTTTTTTATGTTTTTTTTTGTGCATATTTTCTTTAATATTATTAATAATTCTTTTATGTCCCTTAACATAAATATTATATTCCTTATTTATATCCTCTAGTGTATCTAATCCAGGTAATTTATTTAATTGTAATTCTTTTCTTGCTTCCTCTGCGGTGTACAGACGGGCAAAAGGGGAATCCCCGCATGCAGCAAAGGGGACACCATTAATAGGAGACAGTCCTCTATCTTTTTGTGTATGATATATTTCTGCTAATTCCTTAGGACCTGGACGACTTAGTAAGAATTCCTCCACTGTATACACACAAATAAATAAATAAATAAATAAATAAATAAATTAATTAATTAATTAATTAATTATTATATTATTAGTATATACTAATTATTTAATAAAAAAAAAAAAAAAAAAAAAAAAAAT